TACGTCCCAACGGCCACCTGCGCAGCCCTGGTAGGTAACGGCTGTGGTAGGGACCCAGTGGCGGTTATGCCCGATCTCGCAAGAGCGCTCCTATAAAAGCCCTCAGGGCAGAGGAGAAACTTCTTCTTGAGACCTCCAACCTCTCGAATATAGTGATAAAGCGCGACCTCCACTCTTATCTTTCATTTCTCTCTTTACTCCCCATACGCAGTACAAACTTAAGCATCAGAGTATTCCCACCGGGCAAATCCCCGGGAATCCTTCATTTCATCTTCTCAGGTGCCGCTCGTTGCCAACAAGGAGCCAGTCAGCTGCCAGCTAGGAGTGCCCGGATCGCGCCATCTGTGGGAATCACTTCAAAAGGCCTTCCTCTTTAAATTCTTTCATTTACTTCTTCTTCTTTGAAACAACCCAGCGCTCATGGCTTCCTCTAGCAACGTCGGACGAAGCACGGAAATGGGTAACTCCAGGGAGCAACCCCAGTCTCCTATTGTCTGTATCAGACAATTCATCGTCCCCCTCTCAGCGGACAGAATCCCCAGCTTGAACGTGCCTCTCACAATGGCACCTGTCATCGCCCCACTCCCCGCTACAGTCGGAATGACGTTTACCGAACCCTCGGTCGTGCCCCCAACGGCCAGCCCGAACCAGCTGGAGGATCTGATGCAGTGCATGAAGGCCATGCAGGCCCAAATGCAACAGTTCCAACAACTTCAGCTCTATCAACAACACGTGCTGCATCAGGTCTCCCAGTACCAGTATCAGCAACAGTTCCCCCAGCTGCCCCAACCCCAGCTTCAACAGCCTCAGCACCTGGCTTCGCAGCAGGCCAAACCTCGCCGCCAAAGCGAGCACTTCGGCCGAGGAGAGGCCCCCCAAAATCTCCCAAAAAACCAGGCCACTCCCCACGGCAGACGGGAGAGACCGGCTACCCCGATCTCGCCGCGGGTGGACAGGTCGGGAGGACCCCGGCTCGGCAGGTCAATGTTGCCTCGACAGTCGAAGTTCGGAACCCTGATCCTTGAAAACCGGTTCAAGATACTGGCAACAGACTCTAAGCAGGCCCATTTTGTCCGCAACCATCACCAGCAGACCGGGCTACTCCCGGTGCAAACCATTCTGGATAGCGCGGAGGTGAGCAGCACGAACGCCGAGCCCACCAAGAAGCAGAGACGCCGCCGCCGAGCTCGCCGATCTGTCACCCGCGATTTGACCGAGCTCATGGGCAAAGAAGAGGTAGGCTCGGCCAAAGCCAAGGCTCCCCTCCTCTCGGTTTCGTCCCCCCTGTCCTCCGAACTCTTGGTAGTCCCGATGCCCAAGGATTTCAAGCTTCCCCCTCTTGACAAGTATGACGGGTYGTTCGACCCGAATGATCATGTAGACGTCTTTCAGTCATAGATGCACCAGGCGCGAGCCAGTGAGTCATGCATGTGCGTGGCCTTCTCCACTACTTTCAGGGGAGCAGCCCGCACGTGGTATCGGAACTTGGCACCCGGGTCGATAAGAAGTTTGGTGCAGTTCGCACAAGACTTCACGTCCCATTTTGTCACCAGCAAACAGTGCCCGCGGACTGAAGAAAGCATCTTCAACGTAGCCCAAAGAGAGGGAGAGTCCATCCGAAGTTATATCAAGCGGTTCAACGACGCTTGTATGCAGATACCGTGCCTGGACCCCGCCGTACGCTTAGCAGCGGCCAAGAAGGGCGTAAAGCACAAAGAGTTCAAGTGGCACATGGTTGTCAACCAACCCGCGACCATAATCGAGTTTCTAAAGCTTGCGGATAAGTTCATAGCCACTGAAGAGGAGATCAACGAGATGGGTGAGGGCGCACCCGAAAAAAGAAAGAGAGAAGGGGAACATTCCAGTCAAGAGGACACCCAAAGAAAAAAAGGAAATAGTTCAGGGTGCAAAGCCGGGTCAGTTGTTCTGAGCTCCTGCACCAGACCGAGCTGACTACACTCCACTGAACACAAAGCGGGCCGAAATCCTGATGGCAATCAAGGACGCCCTGTACGTGAAGTGGCCGCCCCGTCTGAGGGGGAATCCCAATGAAAGAAATAAGAGTCTGTATTGCAGTTTTCACAAGGACCACGGTCACAGTACCGAGAGTTGTAAAAACCTCCGTGACGAGATAGAGGAGCTCATCCGTCGCGGATATTTGAGAAACTTTGTACAAAATAATAATAACAATAATAATAGTAATAGAACAGGTCGGCAAGGGGAGCACGGTAAAGACGCTCCCGAGTCCAGTAGCAGGCCGGCCGAACAACCACAGAGACAGCCTCCAGAGGACAGGCCAGTTCGGGGAACCATTCACATGATAGTGGGAGGTTCRATCGTTGCAGGGTGCACCTCAGCGGTAGCTCGGACGTCGGTTCGCGAGGTCACCCGGGAGGAGCAAAACCCCCCAAAGCGGCCGAGAACGGAAGAGCCAATTTTCTTCACAGAAGACGATGCGCGAGGGGTCCATTACCCCCACGACGACGCGCTCGTAATAAAGCTGAGAATCAACGACTTCAAGGTTAGGCGCATACTCGTCGACTCGGGCAGCTCGGCCGACATACTCTTCAAAGCCGCATTTGACCAACTCCAATTGCAGAGAAGCGACCTGAAGCCCGCAGACACTCCTTTGGTAGGCTTCAGCGGAGAAGAAGTCCGGCCCCTTGGGAAAATAATAGTACCTGTAGAGA